ATCCTGGGCCAGACCCTCTGGTAATCCCCAAGGCCGCATCCCTCTGGGGAGGGGGCTTGAGGGAAGGAATGTAATGGGGGGGAAGAGGTGAGGAGTCTGGGGGGCTGGGGCATAGGCGGAAAAGGAGCTGGGCTTGGGGGAGGGGTACGAACACCCCCCCACCGGTCAAAAGGACCCATGTGCCGGCAGCTGTGCAGGGCCAGATTGTGGAACTGCTCGGGCCATAGATGACCCTTGGGCCATGAGTTTGAGACCCCTGCCATGGAAGGACATTAGGAGCATTCTACAGGTGCAGTCGCTCTTCCCCATGAATAACTCCATCCTAATTAACATACCCCCGGAGGATCCTAACCTCAATCCAAGGTGAGAAGTGGCTGGTCTAGTTTCCTGGGCTCTGCTCCTCGAGAGGGCGGGTTTAGGGTTCAGGGGTGGGGGAGCTGATTCTCCTGTGCTTTGACTGGGATCCATCCGCCACTTTAATGAGCATCATTTGCCCATAATGGCTGTGCTCATTCAGGCTGCTTCCTATAATTCTTGCCGGGGAGCAGAGGGAGGGAGCTAGCCGGACAAGCCCATGAAAAATGGACTTTGCCTGAAATGCAGCCCCTGCACCTCACACATTGGCAAGTGTCCTGTGGGTTGGGCGCCTGTGACAGTGAGGGGCTGCCACACACCGGCTAGTGGTGTGAAAAGGCACCATGTCGGCGTCTGAAAACACCCAGCACTGCCGATGCCTCTCTCACCTGGGCTGCAATGCTGCTACTCCAGGCTAGGACCCCACCTCACAGAGCTGTGCCTAAACCTCCTAGCCTGCCGCACCACTGTGATACCAGCCTACGGCCCAGCAGAACGAACGTATTCCCTGTCCCGCAGCACCATCTGTGCTCCCAATGCGGGGGCCCTGCACGGTTCTCTCAATATTAGCGCTGCGTGAAGCACTGTTTGTCTTTTTGGTTCAATGGCTGCCCCAAAAAATCAAAGACAAATTCATTTGGGGTTGACTTGTCGTGATCGTTTTTAATTCTTTGGTTCAATAAAAACGAACTTCTGGGAAAACGGTTTTGATCAACCCTCCAGCAAACAGTTTTGTCTCATTTTTTAGGGGGGTTGTTTTTTTTGATAAAATGGGCGCAGAATTTAACAGCACCAGTCCTTTTGATTCAAAAGGTTTTCTTGAGAAAAGGTGCCACCAAACAATTTGAACATTTCTAGGTATTTTTTTCTTTTTGACGAAAGATTTTAGCATCAATCCACAACAGGTTTTGGTTGACGTGAATGTGCATTTTGGGGAGAAAAAATACATTATGGCTACTTCTACATTGGCATGATCTTGCGCAAAGACTCTTTAACACAAGAGTTCTTGCATTAAAGTATTTGCACAAGAGAGCATCTACACTGGCATGTGCCTTTGCGCAAGAGATGTGCTTTTGCGCAAGAGCATCCATGCCAGTGTAGATGTTCCCTTGCGCAAGAAGGTTCTGATGGCCATTTTAACCATCGGGCTTTCTTGCTCAAGAAATTCATGTTGCCTGTCTACACTGGCCTCTTGCGCAAGAACAGTTGCACAAAAGGGCTTATTCCTGAGCAGGAGCATCATAGTTCTTGCGCAAGAAGCCCTGATTTCATACATTAGAACGTCAGTGTTCTTGCGCAAGAACACGCTGCCAGTGTAGACAGGCAGCATGTTTTTGTGCCAAAACAGTCGCTTTGGCGCAAGATCGCACCAATGTAGACACAGCCTATGTCAAAAAAAATTCTCATAGATGCAGCTCACAATGTGTATAGAGGTAACGCCTCAGCTGTTTGTTGTGTTTCAAGCGACATCAAGGATGTCTAGAATACGGTAAGAAAGTTGTTCTTTTCTGATTGCTTGCGCGTTTATAGATATAAATAAATAAATACCCTGCAAGCTCTGATAGAAGGGGATGTCAGCAGAAAGTACCTTTCCCTTCATGACTGCCTCACACAGCTATTACCTTCCGTTGTGTTCTGTGCAGGAAAGGGATTTTAATGTTACTAAATAATTAAAAGCACAGAGCTCTTCCAGAAAAGCAAGACAGACGTGGGATCGCTGAAGTGCAGAAAGGCAAGCAGCTAATTAGAAGCTAGTGTTCTCTTGACAGGAATTCTGTGGAATAAATGAGCTGGCTTAAAATCCCCCTCGGTTGGAAAACCAAACAGAGAAGGAGGGGGAAGTTCTTATTTTCTTGTCTTATTCACTTTTAAACTCCTGATTGCCTGCTTTGGGTTAGTGCCAGGACTGCACTAATTTCCAGTTCTCTTTCCAGTTGCCCTCATCTGACCTCTCTACATCCAGCACGTTCAATGGAAGTAACTGGGAGAGAAATTCGCCTCCTGTGGACAGCTGGCACAAGGTCTGGGCAGCACTGAAATCCTCAAATGAGGGTTTAGCGGGGATGTAACTGATCTTTGTTTTGGCCCCCTGCGCAGGGGAGAATTTCATCCTGAGAGCAGAATTTGGCTCATTGAGTTTAACAGGCCTCTGCCAGCTCAAATGGAGACTTTATTACAACAATCTCATGGAGAACTGAAGCGCCTCCTTTTCAATCTGTTGTCTCTTTCTCCCCACTGCTTTGGATTACACCTGCTCCGAAAAGAATTCAGAGTATGGTCGGCAAGTCTATTGTGCTGACCCACATGGGATTAAGAAGTGATATGAGGTTGTAAACTGTGCTTAGGGTGGATCATCATCCTTTAATATGGTGTTTTCCATTCAAAGGTCTCAAAGCACTTTATCATTTTACAGGTTGAGGAACTGAGGCACAAAAAGGGGACATGACTGTCCAAAGTCACCCTGCAGCAGAGGCAGGGCTGGAACTCAAGTATCCCAAGTCCTGGTGCGGTGCAGTGCGCTACATCATAGGCCATAGTGCCTCCCAGCCTATGATGTTACCGATTTTGTGTTCAGTGGGTTAGTTCTATTGGGAGTCAATATAATTTTCCCAAATTGGGAAAAGAGCCCTTTAGTTTCCCTTGTTTCAGAAGGAGCTTCTAGTTTAAAGGTCGTGTCTGTGAAGCAACTCAGGAAATGGATTTGTGCAAATAACTCATCTAACTTAATTTACGTAATAACGAGGTGTTTTATACTGCGCCCATCACTGTGGCATGTTTTTCTAAATTTGAACACGGCAACTTTGTGCTGGACTCCTAGGGCCCAATTTTTCAAAGCTATTTGGGTGTCTAAAGATGCAGCTAAATTCCTCTTGGGATTTTCAAAGCCACGTAGGTGCCAAACTCGCTTTGATTTCAGCCCTAGAGTCAAGCTGAGTTCTTTACATCTCATGCATCCACACCTGTAAGGAAGAGTCCCTAGGCCAAATCTGTGGAAAGCCCTGTTGTTTTCAATAGCTTTACACTTGTGTCGCTCACTGGACCTTAGTAAGGAATTTGATGAGGTCCAAGAGAGAATAAAATCCATCTATGCCCGTTTCTGCACCACTCTGCAGGGCTAACCCACCTCAGCACCTCCGACTCGGGAGCCAGTACGCTGTTACACTGTGTCTATATAGTCACACAGATGCTTTCAGATGGCGTACCGGGAAGCGGACAGCCGAGGATTGATTGCAGTGCATCGAGATCGGAGCAAAGCCATAGAGAGATTTCAGAACGTCTCTGTTGAACGCATTCCAAGGGATGGACGAAAACTGCTGCGGGACGGAAGCCTGCGGGCACATGCAGATCTCCTCGTCGTTAAACCTAAGGCGGGAGACACAGCGGTGAGAGGCCGTGCTGATTCCTTTTCTGTGCAGGACAGGGCTAATTCCTCCTTGACTGGGGCCTGATCCTGAAGGGCAGTGCGCATCCTTAGTGCATTTAAAACAGGGACCCCCAGTACAGGACATGCTCAGTACCTTATAGAACCACAGCGTCCGATTCCAGGATCTGTGGAGCAGGAACTGCCTTTCTTTTTATGCCTTGTATATTGGACTATGTCTGCACCACACTGGCCTACGAAGGGTTAAATCCAGCCCTGTGGTAGCAGCCAATTAGGACCCAGGTGAGGGTTGTATAAATAAGGGTGCCTGAGAGGAGAAGACTCACTCAGCCCTGGTCTCTACTAGGGAGTTATTTCAAAATAAGAAGGGAGCGTCCACACTGCCGCGCCCATTATTTCGAAATAACCACTCCCGCTTTCCACAAGCACTCACACTAATTTTGAAATAGTTATTCCAAAATAGCGGTCGTGTGGCTGCTCCACTGTGGCTCTTTCGAAATAACCACTCCCTAGAATCATTCAAAGTCACTACTCCCCCGGGCTTCCTGGGGCTGCACGTCAAGGTAGCACATCCGCATTAAGGATGCGTCTACACAGCACCTTAAACTTGAAATAAGATATGCCATTTGCGCTACATAAATTGCGTATCTTATTTCAAAGCTATTTTGAAATAGCTTATTTTGAACTTTGGCGCGTCTACACGGTGCCAAATTTCAAAATAACGCGCTATTTCGAACCGTCCCTTTTCCCGCATGCAATAAGGTTTATTGGGATCGTGAAATAGTGTGCCCATTATTTTGAAAAATATTTCGAAATAACGGGCGGCTTGTGTAGATGCGAGGTAGCTATTTTGGGATATCCCCAATATCCTGCCTCAGACTAATTTTGAGGCTTCCCTGTAGTGTAGACATGCTATTTTGAAATACTTGTTTCAGGAGTAAATATTTTGAAATAATTTCCTAGTGTAGACATGCCCTCACTCTTGCTCCAGCTGTGGAGCAGGAGGGCTCTGGCTGCCAGGGCAGATGGAGGCTTCCTTAGACAAAATAGGGCTTGGGAAAGGCAGTCAGAGCTGGGGAACTCTGAGCAAGCAAAGACCTGGGCTGCAGGGCCTGAATCATAGAACTGGAAGGGACCTTGAGGTAGCATCAAGTCCAGTTTCCTGCCCTCACCCAAGCACTGTCTAGATCATCCCTGACAGGGGTCTGTCTAACCTGCTCTTAAATATCTCCAGTGATGGAGATTCCATAACCTCCCTAGGCAATTGATTCCAGTGTTTAACCACCCTGACAGGTAGGAAGTTTTCCCTAATGTTCAATCTAAACCTCCCTTGCTGCAGTTTAAGCCCATTGTTTCTTGTCCTGTCATCAGAGGCCAAGGAGAACAATTTCCCCCCCTCCTCCTTGTGACACCCTTTTAGATACCTGAAAACGACTATCATGTCTCCCCTTGGTCCTCTCTTTTTCAAACTAAACAAGCCCAGTTCTTTCAGCCTTCCCTCCTAGCTCATATTTTCTAGACCTTTAATCATTTGTGTTGTTCTTCTCTGGACCTTCTCCAATTTCTCCACAGCTTTCTTGCAGTGTGGTGCCCAGAACTGGACACAATACTCCTGAAGCAAGCAGAGCTGCAGGGAGGCAGCCAGGGCAGGAGAAAGCAGCAGGTCCACACCCGCTTGCCTACGATGAGTGGCCATTTCAGGCTGCAATTTGCCCCTCAGGCAGAGGCTATATGACGACTGGCAGTGGGTCACTGAGGCAAGGTGGGTGTAGGGGAATTCGGGGTTCCCTGAAGAGGGAGGACCCCAGCGTGTGGGGACCCTGCGGCAGGACAGTGCCCAGAGGGGAGGGCGCTGAGGCCTGGGAGGGACACGGGTCTCTGCGTAAGGTGGCAGAACCACTAACACCTAAACAGCTAACAGTAGATGAGACCCCGGCTGGAAGGGCTGAATTGAGCTCATTCCCAAGTGACCAGCAGGAGGCGCCATGACAGTGAGTTGCACCCTGTTACACGGACACATTTTCAGAGCTCTGATCCTACGGAGATGGGGGTTATCTAAGCACCTGGATGTGCAGATGGGTGGCCAGAAGTAATAAGTGGCCTTCTGCAGTCTATAGCTTTGTAGATCATAAGGGACCATTGTGAGCATCCTGGCTATTGTGAGCCTCTATAACTTTGGGGACCATATCTTGGAGGGGTTTTGCTGTCATCCGTACTTAAGATCCCCCTGTATGTTGACCATTGGAAAGTGAAAGGCCTAAGACTGCTTTTGTAAACAGTAGAGTCACCTGCGTTCCCTCATACACCGAGAGAAACAAGATGTCTCCTTCCCAGCGACCTCTCTCCGAACCTTTCCTTTAGCAACAGCCTGGTTTGTGCTTTTGCTCAAGCACCCAAATATGAATCATTCCTCTGCTCCCCCTGAGCCGACATGGCCTTTGTGCACCCAGCTCTGCCACCGCATAACAGAGGTTTTAACTTGCGGCATGACCTATTTTTAGTTTTACTAGCAAACGGTTTGTTGTTCATCATCATCCTCTGAGGCCCAGCCTGAGCTGAGGAGGATGCTGTACCTGTTCACAAGGTTAAAATATCTTTGCAGGTAGCCAGAATCCACAGCGCTCTTGCATAGCTCCAGCTGCGTCTGGGGGTAATAGTGCACGTAATTGACACACATCTCTTCCATGATGCTAAATCCGCCCTGCAGAAAGAAGGGAAACAGGCATGAGTGCAGATTTTGATGCACCCTCCCTGGTCAAAAATAAGCAGCTGCTCTTTGTTCCTGTGTCGTGTGCATCATCAGTCCCAGACTGCTGCCGGGGCAGTTACTGGGTTTCAAATAGGAAATTGCAGCAACGGATTTGGTTGAACTGTGTTTTCTGCAGAAAATTCCGGTTTGGCAAAACCAAACCTGTTCAGGAGAAAAGGCTCAAAACAAGTTGGGCAGGGGAAAACTTTTGAAATTGTCAAAATGTCCCATTTCAACATTTCTGAAACAAAAAGTTTTGGTTCCTCAGTCTCACGTGACTTTTCATTTGGAAATGTAACTTAATGTATATTGTTTTGAAGGGCAGAGCAAAGAGATGTTCAGATTTTGATTTTTTTTATCCCAATTTGGGCCTGGAGAATTTTTCAAACTATCAAAAATTCCCATGGGGTGGGCATGCTGATAGATAGATGCCATAAAAACTCATCCCGGATAGATGCCATAAAAACCTGATCCACATTAACCGTGCTAAACCGTTGTGGTTTTTAACCAGAGATGTGAACCTCTAAACCAAAGACCACACAAAGCATGCTGTATCCTCTGTTAATGTGGCTCTTCTCTTCTCCTTAGCAGGGACTGATAACAAGGCTGGATTGTGTGGTGTAGATGTCTTTCTTTTCATGGTACTCCTTTCTTTTCATGTGCCTGTATATTAAGACCTGCCTCTTGGAGGTGGATACTCGCAGATACAAAGTGGATGTCAGTGGATTTGCAGGGCTCTAATAATGCAACCTGTTAACAACTCTGCGTGTCTTCATGAACCATCACTAACTGGGATAGTGGCTTATGATGGGAATTAAAATGACCCATGTTCCTTTTCACTTAGCACCTAAGGAGAGCACAAGGGGTATGTCTAGACTACATCCCTCTGGCGACAGAGGGATGTAAATTAGACATACTGAAATTGCTAATGAAACAGGGATTTAAATATCCCACGCTTCATTAGAATAAAAATGGCCGCCGCTTTTTGCCAATGCAGCACTTTGCCCGCAAAAAGCGGCAGTCTAGACAGGGGTCGGTCGACAAGGAAAGCCTTTTTCGACCAATCCCTTATGCCTTGTGCAACGAGGTTTACAGGACTGGTCGGAAAAGGCTTTCCTTGTCAACCGACCCCTGTCTAGACTGCCGCTTTTTGCCAGCAAAGTGCCGCATCGGCAAAAAGCGGCGGCCATTTTTATTCTAAGGAAGCGTGGGATATTTAAATCCCCGCTTCATTAGCAATTTTGGTGTGTCTAATTTACATTCCTCTAGTGACAGAGGGATGTAGTCTAGACATACCCAAGGTGTGGTCAGCTAGCGCACCCATTCCTCAATCGCTGTTCTTTGGGGAAATGGCGGATGGCCCCGATTCAGCAAAAACAACAAGGAGCCCTGTGGAATGAGGGGTACAGCTAGTTCGGATTAGGAAGCCTAATCCGAACTAGCTACTCCGTGCCGCGAGTAGCCGCGTGGCACGGGGTTCAAACTGCCGGCATTTAAAAATGGCGCCGGCCGGCTTCATGCAAATGAAGCCCGGGAAATTCAAATCCCAGGCTTCATTGGCAAGTGCGGTATGCCTACATTACCCTCCTAGTTCGAATTAGGAGGGTAGTGTAGACATACCCTTAGAGACTAACAGATTTATTAGGGCATCAGCTTTTGTGGCTAAATCCCACTTCCTCATTCGCTCTAGTAAATCTGTTAGTCTCTAAGGTGCCACAGGACGCAGTGTTGTTTCTGCAGATACAGACTAATAGAGCTACCCCTCTGAGACTGACTCAGTGAGATATTTACGTACGTGTCTAACCTGCAGCAGCACTCATCTAGTCCCATTGACCCAGAGTGTAAGGCTACATCCATACTGTGGAGCTATTTCAGGATACCCCTGGCATCCCGAAATAGCTATGCTGTGTCTTAAGAGCAAGCCCATTATAGCGAAATAGAACGGGCTCTCTATTCCGACGTGCCTGCAAACCTCATTGCACGAGAGGTTTAAGGGACGTTTCAGAATAGCGCCTTATTTCAAAATAAGATTGAAATAAGCCATGCAACGCAATTTGCATAGTGCCAATTGTGTAGCTTATTTCGAGGTAAGAGTGCACAGAGATCAAGTGCAACCTGTCACCTGTGCCTCCCTGTCTCATACACACCTGTACGTGCACACATGTGCACATGTAACCCACACACCTCCTGGGGGTGGTGCACTGTCCCATGTAGTGGCACTTAGACCTCTTACAGAGAGGGTATGTCTACACTACCCCGCTAGTTCGAACTAGCGGAGTAATGTAGGCATACCGCACTTGCAAATGAAGCCCGGGATTTGAATTTCCCGGGCTTCATTTGCAAGTGCGGTATGCCTACATTACTCCGCTAGTTCGAACTAGCGGAGTAATGTAGGCATACCGCACTTGCAAATGAAGCCCGGGATTTGAATTTCCCGGGCTTCATTTGCAAGTGCGGTATGCCTACATTACTCCGCTAGTTCGAACTAGCGGAGTAATGTAGGCATACCGCACTTGCAAATGAAGCCCGGGATTTGAATTTCCCGGGCTTCATTTGCAAGTGCGGTATGCCTACATTACTCCGCTAGTTCGAACTAGCGGAGTAATGTAGGCATACCGCACTTGCAAATGAAGCCCGGGATTTGAATTTCCCGGGCTTCATTTGCAAGTGCGGTATGCCTACATTACTCCGCTAGTTCGAACTAGCGGAGTAATGTAGGCATACCGCACTTGCAAATGAAGCCCGGGATTTGAATTTCCCGGGCTTCATTTGCAAGTGCGGTATGCCTACATTACCCTCCTAGTTCGAACTAGCGGGGTAGTGTAGACATACCCAGAGAGAGAATGAGTTTGCTCCATAGCCTTAGCTGAGAGCCAGCTGGCTTTTAGCGCAAGCGGTATACCAGGGGTGGGGAACCTAAGGCTTGGGGGCCAGACACGCCTCCTGGGCATGACTGGAACTCACCCTCAGACTCAGGGCTCCCCCTCCAGCATTGGGGAGCCTATGCTGGTGCTCCAGCCCCACTGCCGTCCCTCTATGGGGCTGAAGTATACAACATCTACTAGTTTGGGCCCCCCCAAGGCTCTGGTGTGTGAGGGGAATGTGGAGAATGTCTTTCTCCTTCTAGGACAGGGGTCACTTCTCACTTGTGTGCGGCCCCCGACTGATTTTCCTGTGGGTCCGTGGCCCCCCGGCCCCTGTGGAAGAGGCTCATGCACAAAGCACCAGAAGTCCCAGGTTTAATTCTGCTTGTCAGCTTTACAATTCAGGGCTTGTCCAGGATATCCAGTGGGATGTCTCTGACACGTGGGCCGTGCCTCAGGTAGGGGACGTATGTAACCTGTGCGCACACTTACCACCGTTGCTTGGTTCCTGTCCTCTGTGTTGTAGGTGCAGGTCGTGACGAGCACATCGCCCTGTGTGTGTAAGCACATATTGCCACAGCGTTAGGCTTGAAACCCTCTTACTGCTTCTATATCTGCACGGCCAGGAGGGTGCCATGGGAGCCCTATCCCAGACTCCATCCCCACAGCGGCTTAGATGACGTCAGACCCTTTGACAGGCCGGCCTGCGGGTAAGTGTCTGTGCCAAGCAACCATTCTCTGAAGGGAAGGGTTCCAGTCATTGCCCTGCGCGATTTTCCGACCCCTGCCGACTTTCTAAGGCAGGATGGGGAAACTTTTTTTGGGTTGGGGGCCGCTGAACCCCAGAAAAATCAGTCAGGGGCCACACACAGGGGCTTTCTCTGGCAGTAGGGCGAGCTGGCGCTCAGGCTCCAGCCCTGCAGGGGGGTGCCGAGGCTCGGAGACTTGCTGAGGGGCTGAGCTGCACAGGGAACCGCCGAGCCTCACCGTGGGCAGGGCGGGATTAACACCTCTGGGGGCCCGGGGTGATTAGGTTTCTTTTGGGCTCCCTAGACTGCAGGGTGAGACAACAAAATGGGTTCAGTGCAGTGGTGTAGCCACAGGGGGGCCTGAACAGGCTGTGGCCCGTACCCACTTTGCATCCAGGCCCACCCCCATTGCTGCCCACCCACCTGAAGTTAGGGCCAAGTGGGCTCTTCTGGCTTTGCCACTGATTCAGTGTGTGGGAGGGGGCAGTGGGTTAAGACAGGCGGGTAGCTGTGGGAGGGAGTCAGATCTCCAACTGGGTGCTCGGGTGGGACTGGGGACAAAGTGTTTGGGGTGCAGGAGGGGGTTCTGGCTGGAGCTAAGGGCAGTGGGCTCAGGGCAGGAGGTTGGGATTAGGGTGTGGGGTCTAGGAGGGAATTAGGGTGCGAGAGGGGCTCAGGGCTGGGGTAGGAGGTTGGGGTATGGACACTTACCGGGGTAGTTCCTGATGCGGGGGCACAGGTGGCTGTAGGAGGTTGGGGTATGGACACTTACCAGGGGTAGTTCCTGATGCGGGGGCACAGATGGCTCCATGTGGCTACGGGAGGAGGGTTAGGGGGGTGCCTGCACATGAGGGCAGTGCAGGGGGCGGAGCTTCCCCTGGCACATGCAGCTACACAGCTCCAACCTGGAGCTGCAGAGAAGAGGCACAGCAGCGTGCAGAGATGCCTCCCCCCACCTTCCCTCCCGGATGGGCTGGCCCAGAACACAGGGGCTTTAGGGGCTACATGCAACCCATGGACCATAGGTTCCCCATCCCTGTGCTAAGGAATCTAGAACCAGATTCTGAAAGGTTTTTAAGCACCTAAAGCAGCAGACAGGCAGTGAGTGGCATGACAGAAGTGCCTAAGCAAGCTAGGCACCTAACTCCCATTGGCGTAAAGTCATTACGGCCTCTGAAGCTGGTCAGAGCTTTTCCAAGCCACAAAAATTTCCAAAAGTGTTTGTAATTTTTTTTTTTGCCTAAAAAGTGTTTTCTGCTCAATGTTGTCTGTTCATGCTGCTGGAACAATGCGATTGTGAGATCCCCAGAACAGCTGGTGGGCAAATGGATTCCAATTGTTAATATTTAGTAATAATACTGAATATGGTTTTCCTGCTACATTTGTATGGCAAGCTCCTGGAGGGCTCTGCATGCCGCTCCTGCAGGTTGAAGCTGGCTTGGGGTGGGGGCAGAGAGTTTTCCAAGGATGGAGATTTGAGTGCAGCAAGACGGAAGGGAAGGAGAAAACCAGGGTCACTGAGGCTATGTCTAGACTGCAGGCTTCTTTCGGAAGAAGCTTTTCTGGAAGATCTCTTCCGGAAAAACTTTTTTCAAAAGAGAGCGTCCACACAGCAACAGCACAACGAAAAAGCGATGTGCTTTTTTGAAAGATAGCGTCCACACGAATCTCGCATTTCAGTTGTGATTACTGTGGACGGAATGGCCACTAGGGCACCTGTGCTTTTTCCTGGAGGCCTCTTCTTTTGAAAAAATCCTCTCTTCCACATCCACCCACGCTTTTTTCTGAAAAAGCTTTTTCGGAAAAAGGCTTCTTCCTCGTAGAATGAGGTTTTTCTTCCTCGTAGAAAAACCCCTGTCCAAAGAACGCCAATAGCAGTGTGGATGTAAGTATTGTTTTTCTGGAAAAACTCTGCAGTGTAGACATACTCTGAAGGAGAGGGCCTACTTGAGCTAATCTGTTCCATGGCTACTGAGCAGGTGCAAAGTGAACGTTGACGGCTCTGGAGCCAATCTCTAACCTCAACCTGCAGAGCTGAGTTACCTGGCCAGTGCTTAGCGGCTAAGTGAGAGCGTCTGGCTAAGAATTGGGCCTGCCAATGTGGCGGGAGGACTCAGTTGCCCTGGGGTCCAGAAATTCATGTGTCTAGGGCTCGCTGCTATGATAGCAGCAGTGGAGGATGGAGCCCTGGGTCCTTTAAATTGCCACCAGAGCACCACTAGGCGGCTCTGAGGACTGGTAGTGGGTAGACCACAGCGGTTGCCTGGCGGCACCGAGTGTTGGCTGCCCCCCGCCCAGCCCCTTGTGTCTGAGGCCCCACTTCTTCCAAGAGTGCAGAGCCGTTCCTCCGCCTCACCCACCTGGTCCAGGTGCCTGGCAGGTCTCTCGGCACCCCCTGCTAACGGTTTTCTGCTTCACTTATTGTCACAGCACGTAGGATCAAATCATGTCAGGGAGTCCCCAGTTTTAAAGGCTCATTATGATCCTGTTGTCAGATTATCCATTAGGCACAATAGCCAGAGGCGGATATAGGGCAGTGCGAACGGGGCGGCCGCCCCGGGCCCCGCGCTTCAGAAAGCCCCACGCATGCACCGTGGCAAAGGGGGGCCCCCGCGGAATTATGCTGCCCGGGACCCCGCAGAACGGTCATCTACCCCTGATAATAGCCACAGTGTCTAGGGCAGGTCTGTGCAAAATACGGCCCGTGGGCCAGATCCGGCCCACCAACCCACCAGATCCATCCCACGGAGGCAGCGGGGAGCTCCAAGCAGGCTCCCCTGCGTGCCCCCCATGCCGTGCAGAAACACGGCTGCAGGGCTCCATTACTGTGTTCAAACTAGGGTG